GGCATCGTCTGGAGTTGCCATGGTGGACTTGCGGGCGGTGGCCCACCAGTGAAAGTTCCGGTAGAATTTTCGAAATCTATCGGCCCTGGTGGCTTTGCCACGGGCAGAGGTGGTGGTTGTGGTGGTGGTGGCGGCGGTGGCATCAGCAGTGGCCGATCTGCCAGGGGCAGCCGGTGTGGCGATGCCGGTGGATGATTTCCCGGTAGCGGCAGCTGACCGAGGCCGTTTTATCACAAATCTCGGCACGGCGGCGGTTGGGGTGTCAATGCCGGTGACTATTTCCCCAGCAGCAGCCAACCGAGGCTGTCTTATGACAAGTTTTGGATTGGTGGCGGCAGCTGTGGCGGTTTCATCGACGGCGGCAGCGGTCGAGGAATGGTGCGATGTGACGGGTGTATCGACCGTCATGTGTCCAGCTTTGGCGGTGGAGCCTTCGGCGGCAGTGGTGATGCTGTCGGCGGCAGTGGCGGCGGCGCCGGCTGGGATGGCGGTGTTGCCATCGGTGGTGGCGGTGGCTCCGACAGCGGCGGCGGAGATGCTACCAGTGGCAACGCCGTCAGCATCGTCGGCCCCGACGTTGAAATTGCCGATGCCAGACACGAGGGCTGTCAGCTGAGCTTGGGTTTTGCGCAGCTGCGAAAAGAGGCCCCCCAGGTCGGCCTTCCTGGCCTCCTCCGCCCGGAGCAGGCGACGCTGCGCCTTGACTTTAGTACGGAGCGCCACGTTCTCCCGTTCGTAGCCTGGGATGGGCGGTAAAAATCGGCATTCTGTCAGTCGCGGCAGGAATAACTGATTACGCATCAGGGCATTCTTATTCATTGTCATTGCTGCATTGCTAATGGGAGCCCCCTGGTGTCCTGTCATGCGGCCCTTGACATGCGGTTCTCGACAAAACACAAATGTGGGAAACACCCCATCGTCGTGCAGTCACAAACCCCAATGGTTTGATATGTGCGGCGTGCCATCACATTGATGTCTTGTCGGCGAAAGTGACCCTCTTCTGAAAAATGGTGAAGCTCACTACATCGGGGCTGTGAAAATGTCGGCGCCCCGTGAGCAATGTGCTGTCTGACGAGAGAGACCGGCACACTGAAGTCGCATATGAGGGCTCATCGAACTCACATAGAGTGCCCTAGAATCAAGTTGCACAGACGGGTCCATAGATTCACCCAAGTTGCTCAGACAGACGTGTAGATTCACTCAGAGGTCTGTAGTCTCAAGTACACACAGATGTATAGATTCACACAGAGGTCTGTAGACTCAAGTTGCTCAGACAGACGTATAGATTCACACAGAGGTCTGTAAACTCAAGTTGCACAGACAGACGTAGAGATTCACACAGAGGTCTGTAAAGTGAAGTGGGTCAGACAAACGTGTAGATTCACACAGAGGTCTGTAGACTCAACTTACACAGACATGTATAGATTCACACAGAGGTCTGCAAACTCAAGTTGCTCAAACAGACGTATAGATTCACACAGGTCTGTAAACTCAATTGCACAGAAAGACACAGCTTTACAAAGGGGCCCATAGACTCAGTCACTGACAAGGTTGGACAAAGGCTGAAACACCATTTTGGGGATGAAAATCTGAACTCGACTGTGATGTTCCCCAAGGAAGCAGGAACACGTGTAATGGCGGACCGTTTATATACACATTTGTACCCGAGACTGAGACACTCAGAAACCCACAGACGCACACAGAAACCCACAGATAAACACAGATACCTTCAGACAATTACAAAGACGTAGATACACTCAAAGAGACCCACACGTATGCACAAAGATGCACATACATGCATAGTAACTCATAGGCTTGCACAGAGACCCACAGGCAGATGAGACACACGCAGATACTCACAAACAGATAAAGAGACCCACAGAAACGCAAGAGACCCACAGATACTCACAGAGAACCATAGACACTCAGAAACGCATAGATACACAGACCAACAAACGAGCACAGAAGCCAAAAAACACTCACAGACACCTACATACACACACAGAAACCCGAGGATGCCCATAGAGACACAGACACATAAAGAGGCCCAAACATTTTCAGACACCCACAGATACTCACGCAGTTCCAGACACATTGACAGAGACAAATAGACACGCATAGAGACCCGCAGATGAGCCCGAAAACTCACAGACACACGCAGAGACCAACAAACACTCATAAAGTGTGCACAGAGACACAGACACGCATAGAGACCCACAGACATGCAGGGAGAACCACACATGAACACAGAAACCCACAGACACACGACGAGACCCGCAGACACTCAGGGAAACCCAAAGACCCACACAAAGCCCAACAAAGACAAAGATCCCCCATATAGCCTTAATATACTGTAGGGGAAAGTGCTGTTAGCGAGCAACTATGAAGGCCGGAACAGTACACGACGGGGTGGGTGGCCAGCACCACGCCCGACCGCCTTTGTCTTCCCAGTGGCACAGAGCCCCACGTATGCACGCGGAGACCCATGGACGCACAACAGGGACTCGCGGGCACCCAAAGAGACTCACAGATGCCCATGGAGGCGTAGAAACACGCAGAGAACCACCGACACTCCTTAGGTACTCGCGGATACTCGCAGACACTTACAGAGACTCGCACAAGGAGCGGCTTTGCTACTCACCACTGCTCCTGCGAAGAAGGACGAGGATCAATGTCCAGGATACGGCGAAGCCCACGGTCACCGCGACCCTCACGGCCGTCGCCCCCGTAACCTCCATGGGGCTGCCCTTAGTTGGGGGCAGCTCACATGGGCAGCTGTTGCAGTGGTTCTCAACAGCTCCTACTCCTCCTCCTTCTCCTCCAGCGCTGAAGCAGACCGACAGCGCTAGCCAAACGAGGTCGAGTAGCATCTCGAATTTGCGGTATAGCTTGGCGTCGTCTGACTCGCTGCTGTTGCACTGCTGTAGTCAAAGCAGGATACCACCACAGTCAGCATGGACTGCTGTAATCATAGCAGGTACCACCACAGGCAGTATGCACTTCTGTAATCATAGCAGGTACCACCACAGTTAGTATGCACTGCTGTATTCATAGGTACCACCACTGTCACCGCGCTTGTTGTGAGCCGTGTGAGATTTGCCGTGACGAAAGGGACTTCTGCGTTCGTGTGTGATGGTGTGGTGATGTGCACTCTGTGTGTGTGATGGTGTGGTGATGTACACTCTGTGTGTGTGATAGTGTGGGGGTGTGCACTCTGTATGTGTGATAGTGTGGTGGTGTGCACTGTGTGTGTGATGGTGTGATGGTGTACACTCGTGTGTGTGTGATGGTGTGGTGATGTGTGCTCGTGTGTGTTCCTTGCGCAGCCTGAGTGAGGCCTAGCTAGATCGAGCGCCTGACCCAGCCTGAGGCCTAGCTAATAGTGCGCCTGGCGCAGCCTGATTGAGGCCTGGTTAGTCGTGCGCCTGGCGCAGCCTGAGTGAGGCCTGGTTAGTCGTGCGCCTGGCGCAGCCTGAGTGAGGCCTAGTTAATCGTGTACATGACACAGCCTGAATGAGGCCTAGTTAATCGTGCATCTGGAACAGCGTGAGTGAGGCCTAGTTAATCGTGTACATTTCACAGCC